TTTTCCTGCCTGGAAACCTGGAGCAGATGACAAGTACGCTCTGCTCCTTGTGTTCCTCACCTGTAACTCCCTTCCCTGCTTCAGCAGGCTCTCATTGCTGGGAGCCTACAAATGAAGTCACCTCCATAAAAAACATCCTGAGGCAATACTCTTGGACATACTAAGAACTATATTGTTCATCTTAATTTGCTTGCTAAATTACCTTTGTTTAATCAAGAGGCTCCTCATGGTGCCTTACATGGTCCCTTAAGGCTGATTCATTGCAGGTATAATTTGTTCCTATTTTTAATAGAATCACCTTCTTAGCCCTTTTGTTTAGTAATTAAATATAAAATGGTGTTGAACTTACCTTATTTTTGGTAGGCAGTTTCCCATCCTTCCACTTGATCTCTGCACCCTTGGGTAGCCAATTTTGGTGTGGTTTCCCTGCTGGCTGAATTGTTTTCTGTACTGGCTGTGTTACAGAGCGAAGCTCAGTGACCAAAAAGGTTCATTGTCTCTCACACTGTAAGTGTATGCAGCACCCAGATATTGTGCACCTAAAAAAAAAAACCAAACCCCAAAGCCTGCACTGCAGACAAGCACTGATGAGTGGGGGTGGGAGAGGAAGAGGAGAGGAATGGATGAGTGACGTGGCTTCCTGGGGCGCCGGGGCCAGCAAAGGCGTGCTGGTGCTGCTGGCCTCCACGAAGTGACTGGTGGGTTGCAGCACGGACTCCCTCTAAGATCCCTTGACTGAAATAGCAAGTTGGGGTGCTCTCGGAAAGAGGAAACCACATGCCTGGCCATCTTGCTCTTCTGAGAAACAATGTGACAAACCAAATGGGGAAAAACAAACCCTTCAACCCCAGCGAAGCACAGCCTTTGCTACCGAAGCTTTCCAGTGCAATTCAGTTTTGCTTCCTCCTCTCCTTTTCATCTTTTTTTCCCCCTTTTTCTTCCTCCTGAGCTACAAGGAAGAAGAAAAATAGAAGAACCAGAAATACAATTTGCAGGGCTGATGGTTCCGGGAGTAAGTATGTTTTAATTCACATATTGTAATTGTGGTACATCGCTGGGAAAGAAAATAAAAATTCTGTAAGACTTCAGGTGTCTGCAGCAATTTCATCAAGACACAGAGGTGAGAAGTGACCGGTGGTTAACTGGACAGTTACACAAGTTGTGCTGTCCCCCAATAACTTGTGCGTTTGCAGATAGATGTACTCCACCATGAGCTAGGTCTCAGCTAAGCAGCACCCCTGCTTTGTTTCTTTTTTGCACTTGTTAGGCAGTCCCACAACAGGTTTCAGCACCAGCAGCTATAATTAGCAGTCCTCTACTGCAGCCGACGGCAGTGTGGTAGCAGAGGGAGGGAGCCCAGTTTGGGAAGAGGTCACAGATCAAATATCTCCAAGTCAAACATGACCAAGGATAAACAGCTGTGGCTGGGTACTAACCACGCTTGTGCCGTCTGATCTAAACCTTGTGCACCAACGTGCCGCTTTGTCTGTAACCCTGCCCAAATGAGCATCACCCGGTCCTGCAGTGTCCCTTGGCTACTGACTGCAGGTCCTGCCGCAGCCCGCCCTGATGCAGCAACACAGGCTGGAGCGTACCTCGGTAGATGCAGCTACTGTCTTTACCCCAGGGTACTGCAGCTCTCCAAATCCAGCTGAGATGTAGAGGGATTTGATGCACGCAGTCATTATTTAGGAACATGTTATAAAGTGCCAGGCCTGTTCAATTGCATTGGACAAGCTGCTTCCTGACAGTGGTACCTACTGCTAGCGCTGATGGACCAACCTCCAAAGGTCACTACAATTCAGCAGTGGATGAAATCATCTCCCTCTGTTCTGTTCTCTGTACAGCCAATGCCTTGAGAGGCAGCACTGAATCCTGCTGACAAGGTAGGCAGCTACCTGGTTGTTAACCTGGGTTTGGATGGTTGAAAAAACAATGTTTTAGCTCAGTAGTTGACAAAACAATGTTTTAGACTACAATTGTGCCTGAGTGGCTACCTTCGGTGACATTTTCCAGAAGTTCAACTATGTGATTTATCGATAGCATTAGTCACTTGGACTGTGTGGAAATGTTGTCATTTAGTGACTGTGCAATTAATTGTCCTTTTTTGATTTACTGGGAACTAGAGAGACCATCCTAGTGCAGCAGAAAAAAAGGGAAGAATGTGAATCACTGGGTTTTTCAAGCAGTGGTTGCAGAACCATCTTCCGCCTAATTTATTCCCAAGCTTCCACTGGCTTTGGAAAATGCCTGAAGCTCAAGCATGGTGTGCAGTTCTCAGAAATGAAGCTGCTGGGCAACTGAAGCAGGATAGCATGGGATCTGACTGACAAGCAAGGAAGAAGTGTGTAACCCACCAAAAGTCTATGCAAAGCCAAACAGATCAGGAACTGTCTGAATAAATGCACTTAAAGGTAGACTCACAAAATTGAAATAAGCAGTGGGGTTAATGAGAGGACCTCACATTCCTG